GGGACATTAGACGACGTGTAGCATTGGGAAAGTCAACTGCGAAGGAACTGTATCAAGTGCTGAGGAGCAAGGATGTCTCCTTGAGGACTAAGGTGCGCCTGACACAAGCCATGATATTTTCAATCACCTCATATGCATGTGAGAGCTGGATAGTGAATAAGGAAGATCAAAGAAAAGTTGATGCTTTTGAGTTGTGGTGCTGGCAAAGAATACTGAAAGTACCATGGACTGCTAAAAGAAGTGACAGATCTGTCCTGGAGGAAGTGCACCCAAAATGCTCTTTGGAAGCGAGAATGGCAACTTCGTCTCACCTACTTTGGTCATGTTGTGAGAAGGGACCATTCCCTGGAGAAGGATGTCATGCTTGGTAAGGTGGAGGGTCCACGAAAGAGGGGAAGGCCTTCAACAAAATGGATTGACACAGTGGCTGTGATGATGGCCTCAAGTATAGCAAGGATTATGGAGTTGGCGCGAGATTGGGCAGTGTTTTGTTCTGCTGTGCATAGGGTCGCTATGAGTCAGAAACAACTCCACGGCATCTAACAAAAAGAACATACATGTTCAAGACTTAACATGTATGTACCTCTAAACAAGCATTTGTTGTATTGGTTGTAATCAACCCTTCAATAAAATTGAGTTGTTTTTCTGAGCATTGTGCTGGCTGATGGCCTTGTTTATACACTGCAGTTTACTTTCGTATAAAACATTTGTAAATAAATAGACGTAAAGTGCGTTGGTAATAAGTCACTCCAGCTGACTTCAGCAGCCTTCTCTTGTTTTCCCAGGACCACCACCTTTCCACACAGTGCTTTTTCGTTTCATCTCCATATGCTAGTAACTTCCAAATCTCTTATTTCTGACCTAATTGCGCTCTAAACATTTACTGCCAATATCATGTTAGTACCTCAAACTCTACCTAAGGAGGAACTATCTTTCCCAAACCCGTTTCTCTTCTGTTTTTAGGTCATTTGTGTGCTCCAAATACTCTTCACTCGTCCATTTATAAGCCTGTCAACAAGGTTTGTTTTTACCTTGAAAATTCCTTTCGTACAGAATTCTTCATTCCCACTGCCAATACCTTAGATGAGCATCTCATCATTTGGGCGCACACCAAGTACCCAGAAATTAGTGACTTTAAAGAGTCCGTCAAGCTCACTAAGCTCTAAAAAATCGTGGCATCCAGCCGGAACTCAAGAGTTCTAACCCCCAATCGAGACACGGAACTGAGGGATTGTGGAATCCGTATTTCCAAAAAAGTTCAACACGTGAGTCTCAATTCCTATCCCATCCCATATGCAATGCAGAACTTGATCTCCGCAATTCCATTCTCGACAGTGAAGCTCTGAAGTCTTCTTCCCCGAGCGCTTGGATAAATGTTTACCTCCGTTTTAACAGTACCGTTCTCTAAAGCTGTTGCGGGGAAGCAGTGACGTCATGGCCACAGTTAACTGACCCCATTTTCGAGCTCAGCCGACCCAGGAGCTCCGAGGCCGAGAATGAGTCAGGGGCGAGGGTCCGCGGCTGCTTCTGTCTGGAGACCGAGCTCTGCAACGGGAACCCGGGGTATCACCTTCAGCGGTTCCTGGAGACCCGGAGCTGGCTTACCGCCCAGGGCTCGGAGGCGAGCAAGTGGGTGTGTGCGTGGGGGGTGGCCAAACTTCCTGTCCCGCACTTGAGCTGCTTCCGGCGGCAGCCGGAAGACGCTGTGTGTGGACGGAATCCGAGACCGACTGACGGACGGACGGCTGGCCCGAACTAGTGGTG